TTCCCCTGAGGGCTTGCACAAGTTATATCTCAAAGTTCTTGAAGGCTTTCGTGGTCACTCAGGCTGCTCTGGCTAGGCTGGGGCGTGTGAGCCAAGAGGAAGGGTGCTGCCACGTTCCCAGAGTGTGTGTGGTTTCTTGGGAAAACCTTTTTTGGAAACCTGTGGGGGAAGGAGTGCCGATGGGGCTGTAGGGGTGCGGTGCCCATCCCGGAGGAGCTGGGGCTCGCGGCTCTCCCGGGCTGCGGTGGCGAACCTCTCCAGCTGCCCTTGCCCTTTGCTCTGGGCTGGGGACTTGCGCCAGCGCAGCTCTGGCTCCCGGTACCACGGGCGGGCGATGCTTTGCGACACAAGCCTGGCTCAAGAGGGGCTCTGGCACCGTCTCTTACTGGTGCAAAGCTGAACCGCATCTCTGGGGGTGCAGCGGTGCCTCTCCCCTGCTCCGCGCCCTGCTCCAGGGAAGGGCTGGGGGTGCACAGGCAGAACCCCCCAGAGGCTGTCGGCAGTTTCAGTGCAGACACTTGCTGCGCTGGGTTTGCTTTCTGACCCTCTGCTGCGAGGGGGGAGCTGAGGAAGGCTGAACCAAAGGGGAGAGCAGGGAGGCCCCGGGGAGAGGGGGATGCCCATATCCCTGCCGTTGGTGTGCCCACCACGGTGACTCTTGTTGTGTGCTGGTTTTTATCACTTATTCTGTAACAGCAAGTATGCAAACAGCCTGCCAGGAGGGAAAGCAAGAGTTCCCAGCTATAAAAAGCTTTTGTTTTATCCTAGCGTGGCATCAGCCCGGCTCAGCCTTGGCAGAGTCTGAATGTGCTCTGTTTAATGATGCTGGGAGGCAAAGCTGGCGCTTGCCCGTTGCTGCCCAGTCTCTCCTCTCCTCCCGTCAATCCTCAGCCCCTCCTCGGTGCCTGCCTACCCTCTTGGGGCCCAGCCAGCTTTGGTGAGCTCACAGATGCAATTATGAATTGAACATGAGGGACAGAGGATTAAAACTGTGCTTAATACCAGAGGTGGCAGGTCATGGGAGCTTGGGCAGGGATCTGATAGCTGGTGCCCTCCTCCCTGCCAGCTGCCCATGCACCACTTGCCCAGGCTGGGTTTGGCTCTTGGGCAGACAGAAACGATCCATCCTCCCTGGAACAGCCTCGTCGCGGTGCGTCCCCACTCAGGCACACTGGGGTACCCGGGTTTGGACAAGGTCTGGCTCTCCAGTTTGCAGGTGAGAGGGCCAGCGCTGTGGCTCTGGCCCGCTTTGCAGGTTGCACCCCAACAGTGTGACCGAGACCAGCACATCACCCCTCGGGGGGCACTGCCCTTCCCCTAAGCAGGCTGGAGCCAGCCCCCACATCTGCCAAGCTCCTGCAGCCATCACAAGCTCCCCCCTATCTGCTAAGTGCCAGGAGCTGATTTATCTGCTTTACATGTCTGGGATCATGCCAACTAGAACCACACGTGTGAACCTGAAACACTTAATTAGGGTTGTTGTGTGCATGCAGCCTGTTTGGGGTGGATAAGGCTGTGGAGGAGGGATTAAACAGTGCAGGGATTTTACATCCACTTAGGCAGGAATGCCAGCATGTGAAAACTTTGTTTAAGATCAAGGAGAGTGGTTTACACCTTACTCGGGCTCAGGATGCCAGCACCAGCCAAAGCAGGTTGCCCTGGCCCTGCACGGGGGTTCTGCTGGCGCACCAGCTGGAAGAAGGCGGGCTTATGTCCAGCTTCTCTGAATCACCCCGAGTTATTTCCCGAAGAATCTACAAAAGGGTGTTTGAGTTCCTTGTAGGGGGAAGCCTTGGTTCCATCCTCCCCTGGCCTAAGGGATGGCTCCCGCTCGCTGCCGCGGCACTGCTGGGTGTCAGCGGGCATGGGGGAGCCCGGGGCTGCAGCCCCTCACCCTCAGCATCGCCTCGGGAGGACCCCAGGGCCCTGCAGGCACAGGGGTCTAGGCGCCGTTTGTAGGGGAACGTGCCCCACGTCGAGGCATCCTCCAGGAGCTGCTCAACACCCTCCGCAAAGGGCTCCATGGCTGCTACCGGGGCTGTCCCACCCCCTTGCCCCCATGGCCAGGCACACCCTGTGCCCCCTCAGATGTGTCTGGGACCAGCTCAGGCATCTGTTTCCTCTCCCCAAACACATCCGTGGGCAGCAGGATGCCCTCCATGGGCAAGGAGCGTCGCACTGCTCGTTCCCCGCATCCCATCTCGCCCCAAGTAGGGATCTTCCCTAATCCATCCTGACTCTCTCTCTCTCTGTATAAAGAAGTATTTTTAAATATCCATTGTTTACTCTGTAGCAACAGCCAAAGGAGCGGCTCTGATCCATGGCATAAACATATTTTCCCAGAGTTTTCTAAACAGCCACTTGACCCGCTGGCCAGCACTTCCCCGCAGGGTCTCTCCGGGGCCGGCTCTGCTTCCCCCTGCCCTTGGCAGCAGCGGCTGTGCAGGTAGAGAGCTGGGCCAGCGGCTCTGGCCTGTGGCCGGGATGGGCAAGGGGAGATAGATGATGCTTCCCCCGGTCACAGCCCTGGGCTGGAGGGTGCAGCCGGGGTCTCCAGCACCGCGGAGGCTCAGATCAAGGCTCTGGAGCCGTCGGGATGGGGGTGAGGGCTGTGTGAGACCCAGCATCTCTGTGCTTCAGCTTTTCCAGCTGTAAAACTGGGACAAAGATACTGAGCCACGTTACTTCCCCTGACTTGATGAAATGCCTGGGACTCTCCCTTCCTCTCCCCAGTCGAGTTGGCTCCCTGGGAAGGGAGGAGGGCGCCGAGCTCGCCCGCCTGGGAGTGGGAAGAAAAGTCCCATTTAAGTGCCAGAGAGAGGACATCAGAAATGGTGTTTTGGACGCTTGCTTCGGCACCTCGAGAAAGCCTGGCCGTTTGTCTTGCTGCGGGCAGTGTGTCTGTCTGTTACTCTCTTCGAATGTGGCGGGAGATCCCCTCCAGGCCACAGTGGTGTGGAGATACCCGAAAGCGCTGTGAAGGACCATCAGCGGGAGAATTCGCTGTCAACCCCCCCCGGGGCCGTGTCCTGCAGCCCTTTCGGTGCCCAGGAGGCAGCGCACAGCCCAGCTCTGCCAGGTGGGCACACACCGAGGCGAGGGTGGGAAGCCACCAGCCCCTGTCACCCAGCCTGTGGCCAGCCGGCTCCGGGGGGCCGAGCCCAATGCCCTGGTTATCCACGGACACCCCCACACACGCTCTCACTTTACTTTTCAGACACACACTCCGGCTGCCGATGCACGTCGGAGTTACTTGTGCAGCCACATCGAAAAGATGACTGCACACATCTTTGTGCCATGCACCGTTCCAGTGGAAGGACAAACCATTCTGTAAATAGCAAGTCCAGCAATTAATGCCAGAGCTTGGAGCTAAGAGGGGTTGCATCAAGCCCTTGTCTGACTGCTTTGAAAAACCAAAGCAGTCTTGTAAAGATCAAGCTTGTAAAAACGGGGCTCTGTTTTGCTAGCTCATGAATGGGAAGAAATGCCAAGCGGATAATTTTTTACACATAATTTTTTCCTCTTTGTCAACATTCCCCCATTTGGCTGAAACTTCAAAATGCCATATTTGGAGAGCGCCTGTCTTAGAAGTTCCAGTATTTGTATAAATAGCTGATAGTGAAAAAATTACCCACTCTGGCATCTGCCCAGGGGCCCTCAGGAGGAGCAGAGCTGGGGGCAGCGATGGGGCAGCCCAGTGCCTTCCAGTCTCAGGTGGCTCCCCACTGCCACGTGTGAATGGAGCAGGAAGGGTGGGTGGGGGTGTCCAGAACACCAGCACCCACCCAAATGGAGGACGGGGAGCAACAAAGGTCTGCCCATTCTCCTCCATCAGCTGGGAAGGAGGTTTGGGCAAAAAATGTGGAAGTGAAATAGTGACAGTGAGGTGCCCTGGATGTCATCTTCTGGAGAGGGGCTGTCATCTTGCCATCCCTCTGCTGATGTCGAGGGGACAGTTGTGCCATTGTCCCCATCAGGAACAGCTTGTCCTGCCCAGAGAGAGCCTGAGCCCACTGAAGGGTGTACGGAGAGGGGCACATGGTGAGGGGCACGTAGCACAGTCTTGGGGTGCATGGTGAGAGGTTTAGAGCCAGGGGTGCAGGGCGAGATGCTGAGGTGCGTGGAGAAGGACCAGAGCATGCGGTGAGGGTGCACAGGGGGAATGAGGGGAGCAGGGTGAAGGGCGCACAGAGAAGGACCAGGGTGTACAGTGAGGGGCAGGTGGGTGAATGGCAAAGTGCAGGGTGCGAGGACAACAAGGACAGATGGTGTGGGACCAGGACACATGGTGAGGGGCTGGAGAGCACGGTGGGGGTCTTGAGGAGGGGCTGGGGCTCATGGAGAGGGGCTGGGGAGCATGGTGAGGGGCTGGAGAGCATTGTGAGGGGCTGGGGCACATGGTGAAGGACACAGGGAGAGGCTGGGGCTCACGGTGAGGGGCTGGGGCACATGGAGAGGGGCTGGGGGGCATGGAGAGGGGCTGGGGGGCATGGTGAGGGGCTGGGGCACACAGTGAAGGGCAGGGATGCACGGGGAGGGGCTGGAGAGCGCGGTGAGGGACACGGGGAGGGGCTGGGGTGCACGGAGAGGAGCTGGGGCATACGGAGAGGGACTGGAGCGCAGGGTGAGGGGCTGGGGCGCACGGTGAGGGACACAGGGAGAGGCTGGGGCTCACGGTGAGGGGCTGGGGCTCGTGGTGAGGGACACGGGGAAGGGCTGGGGCACATGGAGAGGGGCTGGGGGGCACGGAGAGGGGCTGGAGAGCACGGTGAGGGGCTGGGACGCACGTCGAGGGGCCGGGGTGCACCGGGGGGGATGCCGGGGGGAGCGGGGCGGGCCGGGGGGGTGCCCGGCCGGGGCGGAGGCGGTGCCGCAGCCCGTTCTTCTTTCATTGATCTCCGGAGCGGGGCAGCCGGGGGCCGCCCCCCGCCTTTAAAGGCTCCTCCTCCCCGCAGCGGCCCGGGGAGCGGCGCGGAGGGCAGCCCGGCCCCACCGCAGCCCCGACGGCAGCTCCGGGCTCCGCGGCCGCGGGGCGCTCGGGGAGGGAGCGGGGCTGCGGGACCCCAGCCCCCCTCCCCGGCCCGGCCCGGCGGAGATGGGTGCCCTGCCCGCCGGCAACGGCAGCGCTTGGGGCGGCGGCGGCAACTGCAGCGGGGCCAGTCTGAGCCGGCAGTGGGTGGTGGGGGCCGCCCTGAGCCTCACCGTGCTGGTCATCGTGGCCGGCAACTTGCTGGTGATCGTGGCCATCGCCAAGACGCCGCGGCTGCAGACCATGACCAACGTGTTCATCACCTCGCTGGCTTGCGCCGACCTCATCATGGGCTTGCTGGTGGTGCCGCCGGGGGCCACCATCCTGCTGAGCGGCCACTGGCCCTACGGCACGGTGGTGTGCGAGCTGTGGACCTCGCTGGACGTGCTGTGCGTCACGGCCAGCATCGAGACGCTGTGCGCCATCGCCGTGGATCGCTACCTCGCCATCACGTCGCCGCTGCAGTACGAGGCGCTGGTGACCAAGGGCAGGGCGCGGGCCGTGGTGTGCCTGGTGTGGGCCATCTCTGCCTTCATCTCCTTCCTGCCCATCATGAACCACTGGTGGAGGGACGGGGCGGACGAGCAGGCGGTGCGCTGCTACGACGACCCGCGCTGCTGCGACTTTGTCACCAACGTGACCTACGCCATCATCTCCTCCACCATCTCCTTCTACGTGCCCCTGCTCGTCATGATCTTCGTCTACGTCCGCGTCTTCGCCGTGGCCACGCGGCACGTCCAGCTCATCGGCAAGGACAAGGTGAGGTTCCTGCAGGAGCCCCCCAGCTCCAGGAGCAGCCGGCGGCGGCGGCCCTCCCGTCTGCTGGCTATCAAGGAGCACAAGGCGCTCAAGACCCTGGGCATCATCATGGGCACCTTCACGCTCTGCTGGCTGCCCTTCTTCGTGGCCAACATCATCAAGGTCTTCTGCCGGCCGCTGGTGCCGGATCAGCTCTTCCTCTTCCTCAACTGGCTGGGCTACGTCAACTCAGCCTTCAACCCCATCATCTACTGCCGCAGCCCCGACTTCAGGAGCGCCTTCCGCAAGCTGCTGTGCTGCCCACGCCGCGCCGACCGCCGGCTCCACGCCGTCTCGCAGGACCTGCAGCGCTGCCCCTGTGCCTTCAGCCCCCGGGGGGGCCCCTCGGAGGACAGCAAGGCGGCAGCCCCCGGGCACCCCGGGGAGGACGGCGAGGCTCGGGGCAGCGGCAGCAGCAGCCGCTGCAGCAGCCGCACAGAGGAGACCAGCCTGTCCCAGGGCAGCGGCCACCGGCAGCGGCCCCTGGGCGAGTCCCAGCTGCAGGGCACCCAGCCCTCGCTGTGCTCCCAGCTTGATGAGTAGGTACCCGCGGGCGCTCGCTCGGGGGGCTTGGGGGGACCAGCCCTTTGGGGCGCGGCCGGTGGGGGGGCTGTCGATGGCGGGGCCGTGGTCTGACAGTGCAGCGTGGAGCTGCAGGGCAGGCAGACCCCGGGGCGCGTGGGAGAGGTGCTGGGCTGCGGGGCTGGGAACCACTGCCCTCTGCCTTTAGGTTCCCCTAAAACCCCAGCCCCTCCATCGAGCTGCAAAAGTATGGTCCCAGCACAGCCCTGCCTTGCCCCTTCCTGGGGAGCACCCCAGCCTGCCAGGATGGGCTCTGCTGGTCCTGGGTAAGAAAAACACTGCTGATGAATAGGGAAGGAAACCAGCGGAACAGGAATGTGTCCCAAATCCTGGGATTCCCCCCCTTCTCCCCCAGCTCCCGCTTTCTGTTGTTAAAGAAGGAAAACGTGGGGATCCCCTCTGCAGTGAGAGAGCCGGGGGCCGCTGTTGCCAGCCTGGGCTCTGCGGGTTGCTTTGCCCTCTGACAGAGTGTAAATCTGGGAAGGGAATTTATTTTGTCACCCTCTGTCCCTCGCTGCCATCAGCCCTGCAGACAGGAGCTCTGCCCTGCCAGCCTGCTGCCTGCACCCTTACATGGATTTACACCTTCTGCAAATTACAGGGTGGGTTTTCCCACCCCCTGAGTTTTTTATTAGTATGACAAAATTTGAATTATTCTGCTCACTGTGGTTTTTAACTGGCTTTCTCTGGTCTGAAACCCCTGCTGACACCCGAAGGCAGGAGAGGTTCCTGCCAGCATGCACAGGCAGAGCTGCTGTTGGCAGAGATGTGCAGAAAGAAGTGCCAGAAAGCGTTTCCTGCAGTTGCGTGCTCTGAGGAAGGATTCATCCACCCTGGGAACGTGGGACAGTAAATCACGGGGAAGGTCTGGGCTCTTCACGCACTGTGCTCTCCTGTTTAAGGTTTGCCGGCAGAGAGATGACAGCAAGTCCTTCCATCTGACCGGGAGCAGCCGAGAGCCGGGAAGAGAGTGAGTGTGTTTGCCCCGGCCGGCGCTGCGGCGAGGTCGGGGCCGTCATCCTCTGCCCACTTTGGCCGCTGCCTTCCCTAGGGGAGCGCAGCCTTTGGCCAGCCCGCAGGCAGCCGCCTGCTTTCGGGCACGTGAGCCTGGCGTCAGCCCGGGCCGTGTCCTGACACCTCCCTGCCTGCCCCCGGGATGCTTTAACCCCCCTCGGGGCGGCTGCCCCTGCCACCGCTCCTCACGGGCTGCTGGAGCTCGGGACCTCCCGTCCCGGGTCCCACCCTGGCTCCCGCTCCGCGCCCGCTGCTCCCCTTTCTCCCGGGGCGGTGGCTTTGGGTCCCTGTCCCCGGGGATGTGCAGCTGTGAGGGTTGAGCCCGGTGGGTGATGCTGCGTCACCTCCCACCCTCTTCTTGCAGGGTCGGGTGTTGCGAAGGGGACAGAGGAGCGGCGCTGGGGGTGACGGCACTGGAAGGACCCTCCCCGGGGAGGAGAGGGGCTGTCCTGCGGCAGCGCTCGCAGTCACAACAGGGCTCGGGGAGCCGGCTCCTCTGTGCCGTTGGTGCTGGAGAGCTGGAGCCAGCCGGGAAGAAGCTCCCAAGCCGCTCGCCAAGAGGCAGAGCAGCCCCGGGGATGGGCTCGCTGCGGGGACGGGGGACCAGCTCCCACCCGGGGGTGTTTTCTGGCATGGCTGGTGGCTCTGCTCTCTTGAAGGACAAAGGACGCCCGTCAGGAAGGGGAGAAGAGCTTCCTGCAGGCACCAGCCCTTTCCAGGATCTCTGCTCTGTCCCGCCCCAGCTGCTGCACTCCCAGCGCTGGGTGCGATCCCCGGGAGCCACAGCAATGCCTTTAGCAAAGGAGAAGCACAGGGGAGCAAGGGGAGCTCCGAGCGTGCAGGACTGGGCAAAAACAAGTGACTTATGCTCTTGCCAAATCTCCTCCTGTTTCTCCCTGTCCGTTCGGGGCAGATGTCCATGTTTCTGTGCCGTTTGGGGATGGAGGGGGGGGGCGGTGGGTGAAGCTGGAGAAGCAGCAGCAGCAGGGTCAGGCGGGGAGAGCGTTGTAGGAGGGCAGTTTACATCCCTTGCATGCTGGTCTGGCTACGTGGGGCACTGGGGTGAGGGCAGGGAGGTTTAAACCTCTACCAGCGTGGTGGGAGGCGGCGGCAGGGCCAGTGCCACCCCCAGGTGCTGCAGTGGGTGCTGAGCCCACGCCAAGCAGCAACTTTGGGGGATAATGTTGGTTCTAAATATGTCACGGTGACTGTAAAGTTGTCGTCCTGTTTTGTCTCCCCCCCACCCTCTGTGTGAAATAAACCTTTGAAATGCTGTGATGCCTCCGAGTCTGGGCCGAGCAGAGGGATGCTTCTTCCATGTGCCCTTGCTGAGGGGCTGCCCGAGTTTTGGGGGTGCAGAGAGCCCTGTGCTGGGGTGATGACTGGAGAATTGGGGCACACCATGCACCCACAGTCCCCCGAGCTGCCCCGGCTACCGTGTCCCTCACCAGGAGCCTGTGCAGAGGCACCCGGTGCCACCCCCCAGTGCACTGGGGTCTGGCTGCAGCCCCAGTGACTGGGGTCCTGGGGGTCTCCCCTGCTGGGATCCTCCTTTGGCACATTTTGCTTTTAATACCCAGCAAGGATGAAATCGCTAAATAAAGAGAAAAAAATAAGCTCTTGCCCCCTGTTTCCATTTTAGAGCTGCAGACCTCGGTTTGGTGGCTCTTGGGGGGCTGCTGTCTGATCCCTGCAGCTGACCCTGAGCACAAACAGGTCCCGTGTGTCCCCCAGCCCCCCCATGGCCTCATCCTCCCCAGGGTACCCTGACCCTCTGAGGGGACGTAGCCCAGGAGTTGTTCGTTAGCTCTCTGGTGTTAATAAGTAACTTCCCAAACCACAGGCAAGCCCTGGGCAGGGGGTGAAGTGGGGGTTGTCCCAGGCAACGGGGGACCCTGGGTCTCTGCATGTCCCACTCACAGGGCTGGTGTCCCCATCTCCGGCCAAGGTGCTGGGCCATTTTGTCTAGACAGGGCTTTTCCCGAGGAAGGTTGGACCAGATGATCCCTGAGGTCCCTTCCGACCTGGCATTATATGATTCTCTGATAAAGTTTGCCCAAGGGGAGCTGCTTCTGCCTTCAGGCTTAATTGTTTGCTGCAGGTCCTCCTGGCGGGGTGCAGTGATGAGGGGGGGTGGGTGGATTGGTGCCACCTGCCCTCCTAAAGCACCTGCGCTGCATTCTCAAACTGCACCTCCCTCAGGCTCCCTCTTTTCTTTATCAGCAGCTGGTGCTGGGGCTTGGTGCTGCTCTCTCTGGCTGGGTATGGGGAGGGATGCATCTGCTGGGGGGCAGCTCCCTCTGACACCCCAGTCCCTTGTGCTGCTGGATTAAGCACTGATGCTGACTAAGTCCTTGGTGCTAGCGGGGTGCATTAACCGAACCTGCTCCGCACTGAGCGGGTTCTCAGACTGCCCCGAGCTGCCTCTGCTTACGGTGCTCCCCTGCTGCGGGGAGACTGCTCCTCCTCTCAGAGCTGGTTTTGTCTGTAAAGGCATTTAACTGGCTTTTTCTTTCCCTTGGGGACGCATAAGCAGCTAGGTGTTTTTACTCTTTGCTTAGCAATGCTGTCCTGCCCAGGGGAGGCTGTCCAGCTGCTGTCACCTCTTGCAAAACGCAAACGGTCCTGGTGTGAGCTGCCCGCGTGCTGCTGTCCTGGCTCTGGGCTTTTGGGACTGGAGAGTTTGCTCTGAGTGCTCCAAAGTCACTTTTCTTCCTTGTGTTTCTGCTCCAGAGTAGCCAAATGCTGTTTCCTCTGGTGTTTGTTCCACAGGAGCTGGTTTCTGCTGCCGGTGTTGGACCCACTGGGGAGGATGAGCAGCTCCTCTCGCTTCTCCAGGTTGCTGTCGGAGGAGAGGCCCGTCGCTGCCCTGTCGAGTACGGACCTGCACCCCCCGGGCTGCCTTGGTGGGACCTGCAGGCAGGAGTGGTTGGGGGGACAGTGGGTGTGCGTGGGGGGGTGTTTCCCACTTCCCTGTGCTGTGTGCACCCGGGAAAGCTTCCTCTTTGCTTTTGGCTCACCTGAGAGCTGGGCAGGGGGGACAGCTCACGCGTGCACAGGCAATGCTGTGTCCCCCCAGGCTGCCAGCTGAGCACGGGCACCCGGAGCTGCGTGGTGGAGGAGGACGACGACTTCTTGGAGCACCTGGTCCTGCTGAGAACGGTGAGATCTGAGGCTTGCCGAAGAGCCCGTCGGAGCGAGCCTGTGCCCCAGCAGCGGGGGCGGCTGGCGGCCGGGCTCCCTGCCACGGGGGTCTCTGCTTGGCTCCGCAGATCTGCCTGGGGGCTGACGCCAGGGACGAGCTGCACGTGGTGGCCGTTGATTCAAAAAACACCTACGGAGTCCCCAGGCCGGTGCCCATCGCGGCGCTGCGGGCCTCGGTGCTCCCCATGGTAAGGGCAGCCAAATGCCCGGCGTGCAGCCCCTGCCCGTGGGGCGATGATTTCACCCCGGGCTGGGGCCGGGGGTCTCTGAGCTCCGACTCTTTGCAGATCAGCCTCAAAGGTCTGGAGCTGGTCCCTCCCGTCACCTTCATGCTCAAGTGTGGAGCCGGGCCGGTTTATCTCAGCTGGCAGCACGTCACCTGTGAGTGTCACCGAGCTGCAGGGCCGGGGCTGGGGCTGGGGGCTGCACTGGGGGTGCTCCCGGGTCCCACAGCAGCTTTAGTGGCAGCTCGTGCCCTCACCAGGGCTGCTTCGCCCCGGGGGTGGGGGGTTAGTGCTTGTCTCCATTCGTGGGCTCGGCACGGTGGTCTGCACCAGCTCTCCCCTCTTTGCTGCCGCGGGGTGGGCTGGTGTCCGTGCTCCCACTCCCAGCGTGGACTGGGATCGCTGGCTGTGCTTGCAGCTGGGGGGTTTCACATCTCCTCTCCCCAGTGGATGACGATACCAAGTCTGAAGCCCATGAGGAAGAGCTCTCGGAGGAAGACACGGGCGATGAGGATAATGGTAGAGCGTCATAGAATAGCTGCAGCTCGGGGAAGACTTCGTGGCTCTGGGAGGGGAGCTGGCATGACGGCGATGGTGGGAGCACCCTGTGCCAGGAGCTGCAAGTGCCTCGTGCCAAATGGGACCGATCCTTGCAGGGGGACACAAGCTGTCTGGGCTTTGAATATCATCCCTTGTCTCTCTTCCTTTCCCCCTCCATGCTCAAAGAAATGCTCTTTTTTCCTTTTATTGCAATAACAATGGGAAAGTGCAAATACCCTGTGCTCTGGTACTCCCGCGCCAGCCCGCTGCCTCCTCTCAGGAAAACGTATTCCACGCGTACAATCGCTGTGATGCTGCAGGTCACGCCGCTAACCCATGGGTCTGGGGGGGCCAGGGGTCCCTGCAACAGCCCTTGGGGAGCTGCAGGCTGCTGCCTGTGACTGGGATGGAAGGCTCGGGGGCTTTCCCAGCCCCAGTGTGCCTGGGGGAGGAAGGCTGCACCGTGCTCTGGTTTGGGGCTTGTGTGTCCACGTAAGAGCCACCTCTTCAGGGGGAGGACACGATGTTCTGAGGCCGAGGCGCTTGTGCCCCTGCCCCGTGCAGCCCTGGCACCGATTATCCTGTGAGCTCCCTTCTAATGGTCCTTTTGTTCTGGCTCTGACCACCGCCTGTTTGGATCACCAGGACACAAAGTTGTGTTGCTCTCTTTACGGCAGCCCAGGGAAATGCAGCCAAAAGCCTCCCAGAACAAGCAGCTGCTGAAATAATATAATTAAAACTCCTAATTGAGAAAATTGCCCAAATCCATTATAGGCATGGTATTACCTGGCAGCAAGGTTGATTTAAAGGGGAGCCCTGGATCTGTGGGCAGGGTGGGCTGGGAAGGGAGCACGCAGGTCTTTGTTTATGTTCCCCACTTATAATGGAAAAAGCCACGGAGCTGAGCTGACTGGTGCGCGGAGGGAGGATTGATGTCATCGCGCTGTAATGGCTGGGGAGAGGCAGGAGATGGGCCTGGGTGAAACCAGTTGCCAGCTCTGCTGGGCTGCAGCCTGGCGGCACGTCAGCCGCCGGCGCGGGCTGTGCCTGGCCCCGGGCTTGGGCACACAAGGGGACAGGATCGCAGGGTGGGCACACGCAGCCTTCGCCCCAGGAAGAGGTTTCTCAGGCATCCCCTCCTGCAAGGCAAGTGTGCGCCCCGAGCCCCTTCCCCTTCCCCACGGGTGGGTTTGAGATGTGCCTGGGGAGGGGGAGCAGAAAGCCCGAAGCCCTGGGGGTGAGAGAGGGGGGTGAGCAAAACTATAAGGAGCAATTATCTCAGCCAGCTTTTCCCTGCCCTTGCTCTGCTCCAAGCACACAAGACTGTGTGCACTACTCCTGGAGAGGGAGCCAGAACCATTGCATTGCTCATTGAAACAGGTGATTCTGGCTTATTTTCCCCACCAGGACCAGCTCTGGGACCTGTCACTGCTCAGAGCCGGTCTGTGTGACAGTGCAGTGCCTGAGGGGCGAGGGCTTTCCAGGGCTGCTCGGGTTCAAGGTGCCTTGTGGGGGCCAGAGCATCCTCCAGCCCCCCACTGCCCACCTGGGGGGTGCTGGGTGCGGAGGAGCAGGAATAAAGGCTGATGAATTCATTGCTCCTAATTCCTCCAGAGGGAAGGGAACACGCTGTGAACTGGAATGCTCGCGGAGCACCGGCCCCTCGGCCCGATCCAGCAGCTGCATTAAGCCATTTCGCTGGGTGCAGATTATATAAGGAAACCCAGGAAGAAAAGAAAGGCGAAGCGGGTTAAGGTCGGCACCAGTGAATTTGCACGGCAGCCCCTTCTGCTCTCAGCGTGTGTTGGGGAAGCGCCCAAGCAGCGGCCGTCGCGCTGGCTGCTGCCTTCCCAAGAGCGGCAGGAGCCTGGCAGCGAGGGCCCCCCCTGTCCTGGGTGTGAGGACTAATACCAAAAAACCTCACCAGTCACTCAAACCCATGACACCCCCGTGGGTGCGTGGGGACAGAGCTGTCACCCCCCTCCACCATCCCCAAGCCCCTTGCTGGAGCCTTGGGCTGTGGGATGGCTTGCCCAGCCCCGGCTGCAAATGCAGCGTGGGACCCCCGAGAGCCACAGCCCGTGGCTGGGGCCACCGCAGCCCCAGCAGTGGGGAGGGGGGGTACTTTGGGGGAGATGCTCTGTCCCCCCTTCCCGCAGCCCCTGGCAGCAGCACGCTCGCCCCGTCCCGCATCCCGCGCGGCAGCATCTCCTGGAGGGCTTTGGCATAACCATGGCAACTGCCAGGTAATTAATAGACGAGTCTCAATGTCATGGAGACAAAACAGGCGCAAACGTGGACACGGGGCCGCACGTCCACCCAGCCGGGCACGGCGGGCCCCGGTGCAGGATGCGGCCCCCAGTCACACTGCGGGTGGCTGGTGCTGTGTCCACCCGGTCAGCACCGTCACCCCATGGCAGGGACATCCCCTCGTCACCCCGCTGTGAGGGTGGCACGTGGCAGCCCGTGTCCCCTGGGCAGGACGGGGCTCTGCACCCACTGGGCACGTAGAGGCAGCCCCGAGCAGGATGGGTGCCAGCCTCTGAGACAAGAGCAGCGCTGGCGAGTGCCTGGTGGCTTAAAGACTTTTGGGGGTAACTGAGAAGAATTTTGACAGAGAAGGGAGATGCGAGAATGATATTTTAATGCAGAAAAGGCTCCTGCTAGGCTAAAAGCGGCTTCAGAGGCTTTAGCTCTTCCAGGCTGACTTGTGCCCTGGGACTCTGTGGGCTTTGCGCAGGGCGCTCGGCACGACAGTCCTGGGCTCAGCCCCGAGCCCTCGCAGCCTGGCGGGGCTGGGTGCCGTTTTGGGGTGGCTTTGCTGGGTACCTGGTGCTGCACAGCTCCAGCTGTGTGCACGGTCACACCCCAAAGCCCCGGGGGAGCTGTACGAGACACCCCCGAGAGCCAGGGCTCCCCCCAGGCTTTGCCTGTGCAGCAACGTTTGTGCTTTCCCCTGCTCAGGGCTGGTCCCTGCACCTCCACCGGGCACAAGTCGCAGCCTCTCCTGCCTTTTGCACAAGCAAATTCCAATTAATAAATGCAGGAATGCCCTTTTATTTTCTGCATAAGTGGCTAATTATTTGATGCATGAGTACCCCCTCCGTTCACCCATGAGCACCCGACTAATTGCATGAGGGTTTAAATAGTGCAGACCTGAGCACCCAGTGGGTGCGCATGTGAGCACCCCATTAATGTCCTTGGGTGCCCGGCTGGCTTGGGTGTGAGCCCCCATTATCTCAGGAGTCTGGTGCAGGGCAGAAAGCGCAGGAGGAGGCCTGAGTCTGGGGATGGGGGAGGCGCTTCCCCAAATACCTCTTAATTATTTACATTTTCTGTTGTCTCAATACCCGTGCCACGGATGAGACCCTTGCGTTAATTGCAATAAACTAAATGAAGTAAAACTTGCTCCAGCTGAAATTGCTCTGCCCTGGTCCCTCTCCTCGCCAGGAGGGCTGGATCTGGCCCCGCTCCCCGAGCAGGGGCAGCCGGCTGGGACCGAAACCGCTGGGGTCTCAGAGTGCCCTGCCAGCTGCTGAGAGGGGCACCGGGGGGCGAGTGGGGTGTCCGCTCCCCCCGGGCAGGACCTGCCCAGCCCGTGGGGAGGCGGCTGCCTGTGAACGCTGCTGGGCGGCACGACTTAATTCTTTGCTGCAGGCGCTGGGTCTGGGGACGCGTGTGGGGCTGAGGACGTATCTCAGGAGGAGGCTTCTGCACATGGTAATTTATTTACGGGGGGGGGGGATTTTTACCTGGTGATGCTCAGCTGGTAAAATGCCTCCCCGAGCAGAACAAAGAGCGGCGCGGGGCTGGCTGTGGGGGGAGGTGGTTGCACGGCTTTGAATTCAGCGGCAAATGTTCAATAAGAGGGACTTTATTCTGAAATGCCTCTTCTGTCTCCGCATGCATCCTTTGCGGTGGGGTGCCTTGCAAACGCGTGGGGTGAAGCAGGCACGGTGCATGGAAGTTGATCTAAAAACCCAGTTAATGTGAATTTGGACTGTGGAGCTTTTGGGGGGCTGCTGAGACGCGTTACAAAACTCTCTGGCTGGGTGCAGCTCTCCATTGGGATCCCCTGCGGGCTCCCAAAATCTGCTGGTGGGTTTCGGTCTTACTACTAGATCAGGTACGTGAGGGCTTCAGGGTGAAATAATGTCTGGTACTGAGAGAAATAAACAGGGTTGGCATATCCTGTGCTGGGAAAAAGTGAGAGATAATATATGGAAATAGCCCAGGAAATTAAAGTTGGGCTGCAGTGGGTGGTGAGATGATTCAGTGGCAGGAGGGAGGCAGGGGACCCGGGAGCAGCCCGGGAGAGGGGCCGGCACCGTCCAGGGGGTCCCGGGGGCCCGGCAGCGAGCACGGTGTGCCGGGGATGGGAAAGGTGCTGCCTGCGCTCCCCTGGGGCCGGCTGCTGCAACTGATCTAATTTTTGCCCCTGAATTCCCTCCTTGCCCCCCATCCCGTTCCCTTCGCAGCCGGTTACGTGAAAGCCGGGCGTTGCTTTCCGCAGGACCGTGCCGGGGTCTGTGAGAACATCTCGGCTGAGCCCCCCGAGCCGCAGCAGCGAGGAAACCCAGGCTGGCTGCTGCAGCCCTGGCGTTTGAGGAGAGCCTGGTTAATCTCATTAGAGGGATGGATGAGTGGGGTGCAGGCGCACGAGGCTCCGAGGCAGTGCAAAAGTAGCAGAGCATCTTTATTCATTTACCCATTTATGTCCTTTGTTATTTCCAGAAACATTAGGAGCTATTTTCTGGCTCCGCTGCCGCTTCCCTTTTCCTTCTGCCAGCAGCTGCCCCTCTGCGCCGGCTGGGCTGGGGCAGAGGCAGGATTGCTGCAAACACTTCACTTAAAGGGGTGTTGATGAGCCCAGTTTTTGGTAAGTGCTTGCCCTGAGCCCGAGGTCAGTCCCACCTCTTTTCTCCTTCTCTTCCCTGCCCCGAGCCGCAACTGCTGCTGAGCTCTGGGCTGTCTCTCCCTCCCGATACAGGGCTGCTCACCGGCATCGCCCCTTTTCTGAGCCTGATTTTCCATTTCCCTCCCCAGGACGAAGCCGCCATCCCGAGGAGCCCCCCCCGGTGTGGGGCAGGGTCCTGTGCAGCTGCAGGGGGGGAATAGCCACAGCAGAGCCGTGACGAGGAGCAGGATGCACCTCGTGGGCACCTGAAACCCGCGACTGCTGGATTTTGGAGTGCCAAGGCTGGTTGAGACAGGGGTTTTCTCACCTGCCTGTGGGCAGGGGGGCCTAGCCGCAGGCATGGAGGGGGACGGGGATGTGGCCAACGCCACCGCCTACAAGCTCGCCCTGCAGAACCGCCCCAACGCCAGCGCCCAGTTCACCGGGGTGCAGCTCATCCAGTCCTTCAAACCCCTCATCATCCCCTGCTACGCCCTAGTCGTCCTCGTCGGCATCTCTGGCAACTACCTGCTCCTCTACGTCATCTGCAAGACCAAGAAGATGCACAACGTCACCAACTTCTTCATCGGGAACCTGGCTTTCTCCGACATGCTGATGTGCGCCACGTGCGTGCCCTTCACCCTGGCCTACGCCTTCAACCCCCAGGGCTGGGTTTTTGGGAAGTTTTTGTGCTACTTCGTGTTCCTGATGCAGCCCATGACGGTCTACGTCTCCGTCTTCACGCTCACAGCCATCGCAGTCGACAGGTAAGTGCCGGTGGGGAGGATGGCTTGGGGGGGTCTGGGTCTGTCCCCCCCGACCCCCTCAGGCTGCTGCTCGCTCAGCTTGGAGCATTAAGTGCCAAACACTCAAAATTGGAAAAGGAAAAATTCAGGGGGGGTTGGCAGGCTCTCTGCAACTGTTTCTTTAGTGTCAAGACTCAGGCTCAGGTGGAGGAAGCGTGGTGGGGTGTTTGGCTGGCTGCTGGTCTGCACGGGGAAACACTGTTGTGCGGTTTCAAAGAGATGTTGTGTGGTTTCATGCCTGCCAGTATGAAGCCATCTTCATTGAAATATGGCCCATGCGTGGCCGGGGCTGCGCTCCCGGCAGGCGCGGCTCTCACCCAAGGGCTCGTTGGAGTTTGCACCCAGATCTTCATACTTTGCTGAGTGAATGTGCAGCCAAATCACGCTGTGTTCTGGCCCCTGGGTGGAGAGCCCTTGGGCCTCCCTGAGTACACCCGGGCAGGGTCTGACAGAGGGTGGTTTATAAAATCTGTGTTTTCATAGAGACCTCCTCTCATAAAAGATGCTCCGAACCCTGTGGGGATGGGTGCGATGCCGGCAGCGCTGAGAGTGCCTCTTGTGCCTCTGGCACGGGTTTGCCTCTGCCCCGGGGGGAGAGCAGGACTGGACCATGATGGGAAGAGGGAAAAAAAAAAAAAACAAAACCAAACAAAACCCATGAAGATTTGAGCAGAATAGCTGAGAAAGTCTGAACTGCTGGTGGAGCCATGCTGCCCTCGCCAGGGGCTTGAAATGTCACCAGGAGCGCTGGAGTTATTTTGCTGTTCAACAAAACCCTTTCTATTTTGGGGGGGGGGTGAAAACAATTTGCTTGTTTCTCCAGCTAACGAGACAGCTACCTGAGACACCTCAGCATGCTTATAAAATGTCATTGGGATTTATCGCGAATGGATGATTTTAACCCAAATCCTCCAGCTCCAACGGAGGGGGGGGAGCACGTGGCGGCACCGGGCTTCTGCTGGTCTCGGACTTCAGCACGAGCCCGTGAGCAAAGCCCGGGAGGAGCTGTGGCTGCTCTCCTCTGCGCGGGCAGCGGGGCCGCGCCGGGCGCTACCCAGCATCGCAATATTCCACGTCGCAGCAGCGCGTCCCAAGCAGCGCGGGCAGAGCGTTCGGTAGTGGAAGAGCCACGTAAAATCTAATTACGTTCCCCGAAGATACCTCGCTGGGAGTTTATTTAGGGCCAGGCCTTGATCATAAGGTGAGGCAGCGCCGAGAGGAGGGGAAGGTGCTCAGGGGAGGAGGAAGGCAAAGCGGAATTGCCGGCTTTTATTGTCATTCCCCGAGTGCTGCCTGCGGTGCTCAGGGCAGGGCCAGGGCCTGGCTGCGGGAGGGATGCTCTGTGCCCGGCCCCGCCAGGCACCCCACTTCCCAAAACAGAAGTGACCCGGTGCTTCCGTGGGCCCCATGGCAGAACAAGGGGATGATGCCCCCCTGCCCCCTCCCGGAGCCCTGCTGCCAGCCCCCCCTTACCCCGGGCTGCCCGGGGGATGCTCAGGGGCTCGGGCTCCCCCATTTTTCTCCCCGCAGGTACTACGCCACCGTGCACCCCCTGAAGAAGCGCATCTCGGTCACCAGCTGCATCTCCGTGGTGGGGGGCATCTGGCTGCTCTCCTGCGGGCTGGTGGCCCCCGCCATCGCCCACACCTACCACGTGGAGTTTCGGCAGGAGGGCTTCGCCATCTGCGAGGAGTTCTGGATGGAGAAGGAGACGCAGCGCCTGGCCTACGCCTACGGCACCCTGATCGTCACCTACATCCTGCCCCTCTCCGCCGTCTCCCTCTCCTACATCTGCATCTCGGTGAAGCTGAGGAACCGCGTGGTGCCCGGCCACCCCACACAGAGCCAAGCCGAGTTCGACCGCCTGAGGAAGAGGAAGATCTTCCGCCTCATCGTGCTGGTGGTGGCGGCATTTGGGGTCTGCTGGCTCCCCATCCACGTCTTCAACATCATCCGGGACATCGACATCAACCTCATCAACAAGCACTATTTCCTCCTCATCCAGCTGCTCTGCCACTGGTTCGCCATGAGCTCCTCCTGCTGCAACCCCTTCCTCTACGCCTGGCTGCACGACCGCTTCCGTGGGGAGCTCCGCAAGTTGTTCCCCTGCAAGAGGAAGATCATCCCCGCCAAGAGCTGCGGGGCTGCCGGCGGGGTGCTCTGAGGGGGGGGTCCCCCCTCTCCACACCCTCCCCGGCCCTTCGCTTCATCCCGTGCACGGCAGAGCTCTCCTCGCTGCCGAGGGGCCGGGGATGCCCGTCCTGCCCGTGGGACCGGAGGAAAGCGGGGGTCCTCCTGCCTGCCGCGGGGTTTGCAGCACGGGCTGCAGCATCCTTCCCCACGCCCGCCCTGCGGCGGGGCGGCAGGGCTGCATGTTTGCTTCAGGATCTTGTGGTGTCATTATTTGAAATTAATGGAGGAAATGGGCTTGCGGGAGCGCGAGGGAGGTGTGAAAAGCATTTTGCTGGAGTGACAGCCGTTAGTAGCTGCCTGTTTCATTAAATGAATCATACAGCACTCATTAAATCGATTTTCGGGTTTTGGAAATGGCATTTCTCCTGCGAGATTGTTTTGGAGAAGCGCCGGTGCTTTTCCTGCCACGCTGCTAGCCCTGCACACCCCCGGGTCACCCTACAGCCCCCCAGCCTGCGTACGTACCCCCATCTCCCCACCCCTAGCCACGCACCCGCCTGTAGGCACAGGCACCCACATACTGCCCTGGGACACAGCCCCACACGCGCACAAACACCCCCCCGTGTACACATACACACGCCCCTGTACACGCACAGGGCTGTATGCACACACCTGTACATGCACACACCTGTACATGCACACACCTGTACATGCACACACCTGTATGAGCACCTGTACACACCTGCACATGCCACAGACACCTGAACACCCCTGCACACCCCTCCACACACCTGTGCATGCCACACACATCTGTACAGACTTCTCCATACAGCTGTACATGCCACATACCCGTGTACACCCCTGCACACACCTGCACATGCCACATACACCTGCACACCCCTACACACCCCTGCACCCACTTGTCCATACAGCTGTACACGCTGCACACCCCTGTACATGCCACACCACTGCACACACCTGCACACACCTGTACATGCCACACCCCTGCACACACGTGTACACACCTGTACATGTCACACACCCCTGCACATGCCTGCACGCACATGTACACACCTGTACACACCTGTACATGCCACACCACTGCACACACCTGTACACACCTGTACATGCCACACCCCTGCACACACCTGCACACGCCTGCACACACGTGTACACACCTACACACACCTGCACACACGTGTACACACCTGTACACACCTGTACATGCCACACCACTGCACACACGTGTACACACCTGCACACACCTGTACACACCTGTACATGCCACACACCACTGCACACACCTGTACACCCCTGCACATGCCTGCACACACGTGTACACACCTGCACACACCTGTATACACCTGTACATGCCACACACCCGTGTATATCCCTGCACGTACCTGTACACACACCTGTACGTGTGACCCGGGCCCCGCCCCTCCCTCCCTCAGGCCCCGCCCCTCCCTCAGGCCCCGCCCCTCCCTCGGGCCCCGCCCCTCCCTCGGGCCCCGCCCCATGCTCTCGCGAGAGGGGCGGGGCGACCGGGCGGGGCGGGAGCGCACCGGGACGGGCACCGGGACGCGCCGCCGCCGCTCCCGCTCCCCTCCCGCCGCTCCCCCCCGCTCCCCCCCGCTCCCCCCCGCTCCCCTCCCGCCGCTCCCCCCCCCGCTCCCGCCGCCATGTCGGGCCCGGCCGCGGCCCCGGCCTGGGCGCCCACCCACGTACAGGTGACGGTGCTGCGGGCGCGGGGGCTGCGGGCCAAGGCGGCGGCGGGCGGCGGCGGCAGCGACGCCTACACCGTGATGGCGCTGGGCCGCGACAAGTTCTCCACCTCGGTGGCCGAGCGGTGCCAGGGGCAGCCGGTGTGGCGGGAGGAGGCCACCTTCGAGCTGCCGCCGCCGGCGCGGCCCGCCGCCCTCCGCCTCACCGTGCTGCACCGCGCCCTCGTCGGCCTCGACAAGTTCCTGGGACGCGCCGAGGTCGACCTGGCGGCGCTGAGGGACGACGGCGGCCGGCGGCACTCCAGGTGGAACCGGGGACCCGGGGCGGGGGGGGCTCCGTGCCCCCCGGGGGGCGGACGGGGGTGGGGTCCTGTGTGCCCCACGGGGGGAGGGATGGGGGGGGCTGTGTGCCCCATAGGGGATGGGGGGGGGGGGGCCTGTGTGCCCCATAGGGGATTGGGGGGGGATGGGGGGGGGGGGGGGCTGTGTGCCCCATAGGGGATTGGGGGAGGGATGGGGGGGGTGGTGTCCTGTGTGCCCCACGGGGGGAGGGATGGGGGGGGGGGGCTGTGTGCCACATAGGGGTTGGGGGGGGGGCTGTGTGCCCCATAGGGGAATGGGGGAGGGATGGGGGGGGTGGGGTCCTGTGTGCCCCACGGGGGGAGGGATGGGGGGGGGGGCTGTGTGCCCCATAGGGGTTGGGGGGGGGGGATCCTGTGTGCCCCATAGGGGATTGAGGGATGGGGGGTGGGCCTGTGTGCCCCACAGGGGTGTGGGGGGGATCCTGTGTGCCCCCCAGGGGTCAGGGAGAAGGATGGGGGGGCCCTGTTTGCCCCATGGGGGATGGGCAAAGGGATGGGGGGGCCCTCAGTGCCACATGGGGGGTGCCCTGTGTGCCCCATGGGGACTGAGCAGCAGGATGGGGGAGCTCTCTGGGCCCCACAGGGCTCGGGGAGAGGGGTGGGGGGGGTCCCAGTTCCCCGTGGCATGTCCTTGTTCCCCATGGAAACTGCTGTGCCCCATAGGGTTGGGGATCTGTGGGGGACCCTGTGCCTCTGTGAGGGCCCATGGGTGGTGACCCCTTGGGGCAGGGTGTGGGTCAGCCCCCCCAGAGCTCTGAGTTGCCTCCCCGCTGGAAGAGGCCAGGGGTCCCTGCGGCTGCCGGGCTGGCCTGGGGAAATGTGGCCGGTGCTTTTCCAGGCAGTCCTGCCTCGCGCTTGGCTTTGATTTTTAAATATTTACACGCGAGTGCTAACAGTGTACGCTGGGAACAGCCAGATTGACCCAAGAAACTTAATGCATTTAAAATGCCTTCGCCTTCCAACAGAGAGCGAGCACAGGCTGCTGCCAGCTGTTTATACATTTTTCTTAATGAATACTTAGCAGAGCCTAAGCGCGTGTAAGAGTTGATAATCTGGTGTTATATGGGCTGGCTTCACTGTTGTCAGCACAACATCGGGCCGGGAGACTTTTCCTTTAATACCGAGTGCCAGCTCTGTGTCATCCTTGCTCCTTTGAACATAAACACGGGGACGGTGCGCTGAAATCCCAGGGGTGGTTACTGGGAGGGTTTTACTGGGAGTCAGCAGCCTTGTAATGTGGTTTGTGGTGGCCGGTGAGTCACCTTCCTCTTGCTCACCTGAGCAGATTCGGGTATGAACGCCGGCTGGGCCAAAGCTGAGATCTGTGTTGTGTTTCTTGACGGCCGACAAAGCCGTCGGGGCTTATGGAGCCTTAATTACATCGTGGCCGTCATTAAGGTTGTGTCAAGCACTAATGTGTTTACGCTGCGGAGGCTGACGTGCCTTCAGTCAGCAGAGTTCAGGGAGTCAGCCCTGCGAGGCGAGCGCTGCCAGTCCTCTGGGCTGGTGTCTTTGTGTCTGGGCCAAAGGAAAATTGTGAGGGGGAAAAAAGAAAATACAACTTTGATACTCGCGGGAAAACTTTGGATATTTCCAGTTGCTGGTGTCATCCCCCCAGCCCTTGATTTCCTGTTTGAAGCCCGTTTCTTTTGTCATCGCTTAGCTGCCGTGGTGATGTATCACCATAAAGGGCTGGTTTTACTTGGAAAAGAAATGCGTGTTGGTTGACAGGTGCACACTAACATAATAAACGAAATTAAGATTTTATATTTTGTCATTCTAGGGAGGGAGGTTGTCAGTGTGTTATTTGCTTCCAGCTGCGCTGAGGCAGACGTGCCGGCGTGCTTCTCGACGCGATGGCCGTGTGTCGGGGCTAAGCTGCCTTTCGCTGAACACGTAGTTTGCATTTTGGGTGCTGTTCGACCAGGGCCTGCTCTTCCCCCGGGGCAGAGAGCGCGCAGAATGAACTGTCGTGGCACTGGGTGAATGCAGGATGCTCCTAGAAATCACGCGGTTTAGAACAAAAGTGCCCCGTGCTGGCTTGCATTAAAGGCAAAGGATCTGTGCTTCGCTTGCCACTGTGGGACTGTGGCTTTAGGGACCTGATAAAGCCGAACGTCTCCTTATAAAATCCCTTCCCTGGTGCTGGTGTCTTGTAACTTCAGGTCTGAAGAGCTAACCCTAGCGCAATGCTTGAGCATTCATGTCCCTCTAATGTGTTTCTCTAGAGCAGATTTCAGAATTCATCTCCTTCAGTTAACGCTGATTAGTTTTGAATTTTCTCTGAAGCAAATTGCCTTTTCCCGTTCTCTTTCACTGCTTCCCATGCACCTTCAGAGGACTGAAGTGCAAATTTGTTGGAGAGGCAGATTTGCATGCTCTGTTTGCTTCCTTTATTTTCCATGCACCAGCCCGTGAGGAGGAAGAAGCCGGCGGTTTCCAGGCGGCCTTTCCTACCGGTTCTGTGGAGTTGGGAAGTCTGTGGCTCCAGCAACAGACAAAAAGTATTGGTGCACAGTGCTGATAATTTTCTTTGCCAGCCCTAATGTGGTTTGAATGCTATTGTGTGGTACCTGAGCACGCGTGATAGCGGCGTGCAGATGGTGGTTTTGCAGTTTAGGATACCCCGAGCACTTACTTAATATGCAGAGCTTAATATTCTGGAGCTGCATTTCAGAAAAGGGGTAAGGTTTTGTCTGTAATGAATGCCCTTCCTGGGGCACTCCAGTCACGAGCTGGTAGAGGTGAGTGGAAATCCCCAGACGGTCGGTAAGGCTTGGTTTGGCTCTCCTTGTGTTGATTAGGGGTTCCTTAGCTTAAGAGGCATTAAGATAGCAACTGAAAAGAAGCTGGAATGAAAGGTATGAGGGTGTGGGACCTGCGTGCAAGCTCTCTGGAACCAGTGTCAGCTCTCTGAGGCTGCTTCTGTCCAACCCACTTCAAAGTCCTAGCGAATTTCGGGAAGCCAGATAAAAGCACAGAAGAGAGTGGCTGAGCTGAAAACCAGGAATTCCATGTTGTGTTTCGTTTCTTCTGTTTTCTTTAACCCATCCTGATCTGGGTTTTAAAACAAATTTTACTAATTTTCTATTTGTGATAAGATACGTTTTCCTTGTCACCCAAAGCCATATCATTATGATGTAGTTGTAAGATCAAAGGCTTTTTTGTTTTGTTTCAGGTTTGGTTTTTTTTTTACACTAGGCTTATTTGGTTTTTAAAAAACAAAGACCCTCTGTTGCTCTAAATTAGCCTTGCCTCTCAAGAACTGGTTTGTGAAAGAAATCTCCTTGTTTCTGCAGGTGGTACAAGCTTCGCTCCAAACCAGGGAAAAAAGAAAAGGAGAGAGGGGAGATCGAAGTGGATATCCAGTTTATGAGGAGCAACATGACAGCCAGCATGTTTGATCTCTCCATGAAGGACAAGTCTCGCTCTCCCTTTGGCAAGCTCAAAGACAAGCTCAAGGGGAAGAGGAGCAGTGGCCTTTCCGACACAGCGTCAGCGATCATTCCCAGCACGACTCACTCCCCCGCCGACAGCGAAGATGAGTCAGTCGAGAAGGAGAAGAAGAAATCGAAGTTCAAAACCCTGTTTTCCAAACCTGGCCTGCAGAAGACCTCCCTCTCCCAGTCCATGTCAGTCCTACCGACGCAGCAGCCCGTCACCAAGAGGATTCGGCTTCGGCCCAGTGACTTCCAGTCGCAGTGGGACGACAAGGAGTCTGAGGCCTCTTCGACCTCTGAAAGTGAGTATTGGCACTCACTGCACTCATGAAGCACAAAGCCTTTCTCCAAAGGTTTGCTTGCACTTCTCAGAGTACTAGTTCGATTCTTCTTAAGGAGCAGGTCCCTAGCAAGTCGCTTCTGTCCGCAGTGGTGGGTATGCACGTCGGGCGTTAGACGCGCATGGCTAAGCTTACCGTGGGATATCAGAGAAAGTGGGGGGCTGTGCGAGCAGTGTCTGCACGTGTTGGAGTGCAGCTTCACCGTAAGTGATCTGTGCTGGGTTTAGGTCATTGAACGGCGCCTGTGACCCGGTCTGCTGAGGGCTGGCAGGGGTAGGGGACCCAGAAGGTTTGGGAGTGGCTGGTATGGTCGTGCTTGCATGTTTCTGTTGCTACAATCTGTTAAAGACTGAAGCGCTGAGGTTGCCAGTAGCGAGTGTCAGAGGAAAGGATGTTCTTGCATCTTGAATTTCTCCCTGTTTGTTGTTTCCAGAAGCCTTTGGAAATGCCCTGGAAGAGAAGTCCTCTCCTTCTCCTGTATTTAAATCTCGTAAAACAGCAACTTTGGACAGCAGACAACTAAACCAAGTAACTACTAACCACACCAAGAAAGAAGGGCTCTCTTTATTCAGTGGCCTTAAATCCAAAAGCGATCCTGTCTCCAAGTCTAGTCTGTGTATCAATGGCAGTCACGTTTATATGGAAGAGAGTGCGACAAAGGACAACACTCCAGCCTCTTCCCCCTCTCCTCACAACTTCAGGAGGAAGCAGCTCTTTGCTTCAGAAGAGAACCTGTCTTCTAGATCTGCTAAAGGACCTGAAGAGACGGGAGGAACATCTCCTACTCATGCTTTCTCTGGGTCTACATCCTTGGAGACCTTCAAATCTATGACTTTGCCTTCTTACAAATTACTTAGCAGTGAAGAATACCTGGAAGCCAGTGTTCCTCCCACTTTCGAGGTTATTAAAGAGACCAAAAAAATGGACCACAAAAAGTCTGCCTTGCTCTCTCTGGTCACTGGGAAGAAGGAGGCAGTGAAGACCAGTGATGCTGAGAATATTCCTGGCAAGACCCTGCAGGATGAGGAAAACAAAGTCCCAGAAGAGAGGAGTGAACAAGAGGCCAAACCTCTTGAAACTCCTGCGGATTTAAGCAGAGGGAATCCCTCAGGAGACAGTCACCGTGCAGAAGATGTCTTTGCAAACAAGCAACCACTCAACCCTTTCGAGGAAGAACGGAAACCTGAAAAAGCTGCTGCGCCAGCGAAGACCAAAGCTGTCAAGCCGAGGTCAGTCGTGTTTGCTTCAGAGGGTGACAGAAGTAGCGATGTGCAGCGGTGGCGAGAGGCTTGAACCGGGCTGCTTCTTGCCACAGAGCAGCACTTCTCACCTTGGCATCCTGCCTGCGGCAGAAGCGTGTTGCTCTGCAGGGTACCCGGGGGCTTTAACCTGGCCGTTGGGCGCTTTGCTAACAAATAATAACTCTGAGTCCCTTCTTGGTATGAAAAAGAGATTGATAGAGGGGTGTTCCTTATACGTGGTGCTGAAATAGTGGCTCTCTGAGTGCAGGCATCTTTGCAGGTACTGCAGGGGTGATTTTTCTTGCTGGATCTTTTGCAGAAACTAACGTTCTTTTGTCTGAGCTGCGTGGCTTGAACATACTCAGGGGCTAAAATACCAGTTCTAACATCTCTACTTTTCTCTTCTGCATTTCGCTGTGGTCTTCAAAAGAGTTAATCTCGGAGCCCTCTGCTTTTGACTTTGTTCACAGCAACTTGAAGGACATTTGTGTGAATTTCTACACAAGGCTTTTTCGGAAATTCTGCTCCTTTATCCTCCTTCGTATATGTGTGTGTATATGTGTGTGTGTGTGTTTATATATATATGGGTGTGTCCTACTAATAAGGCCATGCTTTGTGTCTGTTTCTAACTCCTTATTTTCAGCGCTTCTCATGTTTAAACATCTTGCATATGAAGTGTCATACTAATAAAATTGCTTGGGGTGCAAAAGATGAGATAGTGCTTAAAAGCAGCTACTGCAGTAACCTCTGCAAACTCTACAGCAGAAGTGTTCTGACATAAAGCGAGTGCTTTGTAGAGGCACCTTTAAGTATGTAAAGTCTATCAGATAGGCTCTGAGTTCTCTTGCAAGTATAATTCATCTTCAGTGTTACGAGTTGATGGAGCCTGGTGCTAAAGCTTGTCTGTTCCTGCCTTGTGTTGCATCCACAAGTGACATGCGAGTTTTTTGTCCCTTTTTGCAGACTGGGCGTGTCTTCAGAGGAGGAAACCAAAGCCACTCTTCCTACTCTTGCACCTGATTCCCTTCCTACTTTTCTTTCTGTACACCATAGTGGCAATAACCCTTTTATTTCTAAAATGGGACAAAAAGTCCAAGTGCCAGACTCTGAAAGCATTACTCGTTCTCCTGCATCTCTTGCGTCTCCTCCTTTTGCTGCAGAGCTTTTGAATGGCAAGAACCCCTTTACTCCCGAGCGGGACAGGGCGTCTGCAGCCCTGGATCCGGAAGGCATTGCCCGTTTCCCCTCATCCCACCACCTTTCAGCCTCCGTTCCCAAAGCGCCTCTTCCTGGGCAGGTCTCTGGGAGTGGTAATAATCCTTTTGCTTCTGAGTGGGGGCAGAGCTCACAGGGCCACGGTCCTGAAAGCTCTGATACGCGGGCTGCCTGGGGTCTCTCTTGCCCACCCGCACCTTCTCTCCCCTCTGATTGTCATTTTAATGACAATAACCCCTTTGTCTCCAAGCTTGGGTGGGAAGCAGGCGCACCAGGGTTCAGAGCTGTTGCCAGTTCTTCCCCTTTCTGCCTTCCTTGCGATGAAGACTGTTCCTCAGCAGAGCACGCTGCTGAGCTGAAACACTCTGGTCGTGGTGCTTCAGGGAGCTCTTCAGATGGGGCTTTAACTAGCAATGTCAGAGCTGGATCAAACCCTCTCGGCACCCTTTCTGGCAACCCTGGTCTGGCTCCAAAGAAGCGGTGTGATTCTCCCCAGCTTCAGGTTGAGACTTCTTTGAAAAGTAGTAAGCTAGGCAGCAAGAAGTCTGCGTCTTCTCTCCGTGATGGATCGGAGGGTGTTACGTCAGGTGGTGAGGATTTGGATGGGCAGGAACCTGAGAAGCAGTGCTCTGATTTCAGTGAAATGTTACTGAAGGGTTCAGATGCAACAGGAGAGGAAGCAGGCTTTGCTCGCGAACTGGAAGCAGGGTGCTCCACCTCATCAAAACTCTCTAGTGACAGCACAGGTCCCATCCGAAGCGGCGAGGCTGCTGTTCAGGGTGGTGTGGAAGTAGGTGGTGTAAGTACTGAACCCTGCACGGAGGATGACAAAGACTTTGCACCTCTCTCAAAGTGTAGTAATAGCCTCTTGCCAGAGATCGGTGCTGAACAGCCAGCTTCCCTGGAGACGGAGCTGAAGGAGAAGCAGGGGATCTTTGAAAGGAGATGGGAAGAGCGTGCGCCCATGTTGGAGCCCCAAGCAACTCCACTTGATAAAAATGACTCCTTTTCCCAAGTAGGACCTGCCAAACCAACCTTGGGAGCTTGCACGCTGTCCCCTCGGGGAGCCGATGTAGGGAGGGCTGGCGGCGGGGTGCTTGTCACACCAGAGCCAGCACCACGGCTGTCTTTAACGCTGAAGCAGTGCCCCTCGGTTTCTCAGGCTGATGAGTTGAGTGGTGATGGTGTAAAATCTGCGCCTGGGCTCCTGTTACCTAATGAAAAAGCCTCAGATGCTCATGGGTGCCTCCCCCAAAGTGGTTCATTAGAGTCTGTCGCTCCTCCGGTGACGCCCAGAGATGACGGCAGTAAGAGGCATTTAAAAAATGAAGGTGATGATGATTTATTTGACTGCCTTACAAATCTAAAGTCTGCCATTCCTGTTACTGGAGACCGTGGTTCAAAACTGGCCGGTCTTCCAGTTATTCTGGAGGGAGGCTCCGATGACGAGCTGCTGGGTGACTGTCAGGAGAACCGCGGTGTCACTGCAGGGGATAGAAACGTTTCAGAGACTGGAAAGCAGTCCCTGGATTTAATGCCTTTGCGTGAAAAACTGGAAGAGCACTCTGATAGCTCTGCTGCAGCCCAGGTAACCCTGGCCACTCCAGGAGGAGAAGGAGGTGCTCCTGGTGCTGGTGAGCCAAGCAAATCAGCCGTGCTGCCCACCAGGGCAGGTGTTCACGGTATCAGCAACCAGGTAGTTGACTCAGGCTTAGGTACGACGTCTCATTCCAGGGAGCATAGTAGTCATTTTGAGAAACAAGAACTGAAAGTAAGCGCAGGTGTTGAGGAGGTTGCAGAGTGTGACTTCTTTGAGCCTTCTGTTTCCTCTTCCTCCCTGTCAAGTCTTTCCCAGCCCTACTCTTCCTCTCATTCCCTTCTTTCCAACACCCCAAGTCGTAGAGCAGAGTCTCCGAAAAAGCCAACAGCCGAGGGCTTCGCAGATAAAGCAGGAAATTCTGGCAAGAAGAAGCTGCTTCAGGCATGGGTTTCACCCTCTGAAACATACCCTAACCAAACTCAGCAGAGTGGTGAAACCGTGTCTCCTAAGCACAGGTGAGACAACATGGGGAACACAGAGAAAGTATCTCGGTGCTGATGTGAGCCTTGCTTTTGCTTCCCGAGAGCGCAGATCTGTCTCTCCAGCTGCAGGAATTTACTGCGCTTTGCAGTGACGTGGCATCGTGCAGCCTTAACTTCCTCTGGCCTGTGGATTTACTGGGGCCTGTCGTGCCAGCGTAGGATCATTGCTGGCACCAGGTCAATCTGTGTAGTTATGAAGGGTGCCCAGAGAGCTTGAGGGGACCTGCCATTCATCACAGCGCCACTTAGGAAAAATGTTAGGGAAACTTGGTCACAGTTTAAGAAATGGGGTCATTTCATCGCATGGGGAAATGGACTGCGATTCATCCATTTTTCAGAAATGGGAGAACAGTCACGGGAAGCCTGATAAACTGAGATGCTTCCTTCCCTGGCCAGCTGGGCTCCTGAGCCTCGAAGGGAACCGCAGCGAGCGGTGCAGCCAAAGCCTCTGTCCCCCCAACGCGCGGCTGCTTTCCGGAGCTGTCTGCAGCTCCTGCTGCTGTTACCCGGGGATCAGAGCCGCTGACCTGGCAGCCCTCGGTGCTTTATCTGCAGAACTCTGTCGAGGGTCTGGGATGCTTCTGGGCCGACATTTGCTGAGATAGAAAGAAATTTTTCTTCCTATATTGGTAATATAAATCCCGCTTGAGCAAATGAAGATAGCACTTTTTGGCAGCTTATGGCGTAAGTTCAGATTGGAAAAGGCATAATACGTGTTTGTCCCAGCATAGTGGAAGTATTTGATATGTTGCAAGAACCACAAATGTGTTCTCATTAGGAAAGTCAGGCTCAAATACTAGTGTGTGAGAGATCAGAGTAACTGCTGCTGTCTGCTGTCTTCTCGTGTAGACTGGCCTGGCTTTTCTTTTGTGACATACCTTTCAGGATGAAATGGTTCCCTTGTTACTGCTTCTTTATCTCCAATGCCTTAAGTCAACAAAGATAGCAAAAAGAGAACTGGAGTATACTTTTAAAAAGCCTAAAGCTTGGACTGAAAGGCCTTGTCTTCCTGAAGCTGGATCTCTTTATCTCTCTGAAGATAGGGAAGGGTAGGAATTTTCCCCAATTTCTTGCTATATTTTCTTTTAGTCTGAAGATCTGTGTCGTGCTGGTGTTGTGTGTACTGCCTAAATAACATGAGCCTATTTTCATGTTACAGACTCCATCCTGTGAAGCCAATGAATGCCACAGCAAACAAGGCTCAAAGTAAAAACCTGAATGTCATCAGCACTATGAATGAAAAGCTGCTCGAGGTGAACGTGAAGGTATGGAGGAAGGCGGCGCTTTAACCAAAACTTAAGCAGTAAACTGAATAGAGTTCATGTATTTGAGATAGTCTGCCCAGGCTCATATTTCATATATCCTGAGCAGAAAAAGAACTGTGGTTATTAGACTTTGGGGGGCATGAACTTTCCTTTTGTCAGTCCTCAAAAGTGGGGACAGTCTTTAAATAAGTTTTTTTTTTTTTTTTCTTGCAAACTGATCTATAATAGCATTGGTGCCTCTTGTTTGCGGAGGGAGCTGCCTAACTTGGATCTGCACAGAAAATTGGTCACTGTTTATTGTCAGATGTGATTAGTCCCCAAAGCTCATTTTCCCCCTGAAATAAGTATGTGGCTCTTGAAAGCCAAGAAAGTGAAAAAAGTAACCTCAGGGTGACTGTTACCTTGTAATGTGTTGCATTAATACCCCGTGCAGATTGAGAGACCAGGCAGCTGCCACTGGAGTACGGCTGCTTCCTAAAAGCCTAGCTGTGCAGCTTGCATAATCAGGCAGGTTTAAAGGAGATTTTTGCATAATCTTGGCCTCAGAAGAGACCCCCAGGCTTGAAGCATAGCTTAAAAGACATGTTGATCAGAATGGCTACAAGTGTGTCTGGGTCAGCAGGGAAAAACCCTGGGAGCTGTTACTGGCTCTAAGGGGGTTTTGAGGAAAATGAAAAGCTAGCACCAAAATAACTGTAGTGCCTCCTTCTGGCGTAAGTGGAAAAGAAGAAAATGTGAGTTAAGTAATTCAAACTGACATGCTGCTATTTTGAATGAGTTGCAAACCTGTAGTTAGTATTCTGGCGTGGTGCTCTGATTCTGCCTAAGAAATCATGCTTGATGCAGTCACGCCAGCCAGCTGTACGCATGCTCTCTGCGGAAGAAAAGCCTGGGCTGGCGGTCTGGCTTAGTGTCCCAGAAGCTGGAGGAGTTGGCAGAAGCTGCTAAGTACCTGTCAAGTTTGCTTTAGGGTTAAAAGCAGACTTTTCAGTGTAGCTGTGTTGCGTTTTCACAGTGATACCTGCAGTAAGAGGGAAATGGCAAAGGCCTAGGTGGGTGTTTCTTGTTTAACCTGAATTTGGCGTCTTTGGTATGTTTTAAGCAAGAGCTGTCCCAGCGCTGGTCTATAAATGATGGTCGTTGATGGTGCATGGCTGCAACTCCCATGTGTCTTCGCTCAGCTGGATGGGCTGCTGGCTGGAGTCAGCACGACATTCTTTCAGCGTAAATTGGAGAAGAGTTGAATTACAGAACTGATACTATGCAAAGATTTTATGCTAAAACTGATGGCCTAGTTACTGCCCGTAACGTCTGTCTCGCTCTGAGCCTGCCTTCTGTTTTGGACAGAACTGCCTAAGCTCTATAAATTGTGTCTCTGTGCCATAAGTAGCACGCACTTACTCTGATGCAGTTGCTCTTTTTTCCTCCTAATACTTCCGAATAGCTATTCCACATGCTGGAAGTGCGTGAGCAGATAGTGTTTTGTATGAATTTTCCCAGGCTAGGTTTGCTAATGGCCCAAGACGTGCTTTGGAGCAGAAGGCTTGCCTGGCCTGCCAGCCTCTCCCTGCCGTTGTTAGTGCCGTGGCCGTTGTGCAGCTTGGCTCTGAGCAGCCTGCTCTTCCTGATCCCAGAGTGCTCATGACTGATGTTCTGAAATGTTGTTTGGATGGAACTTACTTTTTTAAAAGATATGAAGCACGGTAATACCTCTGAAGAGCAGCTGTGTTTCTGCAGACGCTGTATGCAGAGTTGTTTATTGATGCTTTAAATGCCTCAAGCCAGCTACCAGATACATTCTGTTGCTGTTTTGAAATGCCCGTATGTCTGTAATGACCCTGCCCTTCCTCTCTCTCTCAGAAATATGATCCTTCAGACCCTGCCTATGCTTATGCTCAGCTAACACACGATGAGCTGATCCAGCTGGTCTTGAAACAGAAGGATACAATTACCAAGAAAGATGTCCAGGTGCGTGAGCTTGAAGACTACATCGATAACTTGCTTGTCAGAGTCATGGAAGAAACCCCAAACATTCTTCGTGTTTCGACGTCTGGAAACAAAAAGGCCGGAAGGATGTAAACGGTCTCGAGACATTGGTTGAACAAAGGATTGAATTCCCGCCAGTGGAATTTGATTAATAAGGAGATGATGTGAAGTAGGTGGTACCGGTTGGGCTGCCCACAGAAAATGACCTCTTTCCTGTTTCTGTCTTGAGCAACTCTCGCTTTGATTAGTAGTTAGATCTTGTATATGGAGTCCAGAAGTGGAGTCAATTTACCATATTTATTTCTTGGTTTCTTTCCATTATTTGGGAAGATTTGTTCAGGCATCTAATCCAAAGGCTGATTGGGGTGGGAAGGATGAAGGGTTTTTGATGTGGTTTGCTTGCCAGCAAGGCACTGATGATCCTTTATGAAGATTTTTAATGGTTTTGTGTTGTAGCAGCTTTGATAGATCAATTGCTCTTCCCATATTTTAAGTTGTAGTGCAATATAAAATCTTGTGCTTGAGGATTTGATTTTTTTTTTTTTTTTTTTAATTATTAATAACTACACTGGAGAAGTCCAAAGATGTGTGCTTCACACCAGGGCTGTGTGGGTTGTGTTTTAGAAGTAATTAATCCCCTGGAAGTTGATTGCAAGTTAAACCTTAGATTGGAAAGGGAAGAAGCAAAGCTTAGTTAATCTCATAAAGTACATATTGTTTCAAAGCAGCTCTCCAAGGGGAAGGTTTACAGGTTTTTTTGGTACAGGAAACACTGAGATGTCATGGTATGTTTGTTTACCATAGGAATGGTAGCAATGAACTGGGGGCAAAGGTGCATTTTTTAAATTGGAAGCTGTTCACTTACAGACTTCAAATTCCTGATTGAAAGGTGGTTCAAATGAAGGAGGCAAAGGTACGCCTGGTTTCCGTTCTGTAGTCTTAAATAGGTGTGGATTTCACAGTCCACGTGCATGGCCCTTGTCTCTTTGACACCGTTGCAGTTTATTAAATTTAAATATCTTGGATTTTGGAGCTGGGGCTTACCTTGGAATGACCTTCAAAGGTGAACAGTCTTACGCTTTCTTTTGTGCATTCCTTATAGAGCCAGGAGAGGAACCAAATTGCCCTCCCTGGGAGTGGGAGCAGTCACAGCACTAGTGCTCAGATCTGATGTGGTTTTCTTTGTGACTTGCTGCTCAGAATGGAATGAAAACTTTATGCAGCTGAGAAAGACTGCTGTTTTTTCTAGAGAATCGGTACCTCTCGGTCTGCTTCCTTAATGTGCGGCTGCTTTGCAGCTCAAGAGAGACAGGTGTGTTCTCCCCTCCGTCTCATCGGACAGCAAACAACAGCACAGCGCTCTGGAGCAGCCACCACAACAGGCTTCCTCCACGGAAAAACTAGCTGTGGCTTTTTTTTGGTGAGCTCTTGTCAAAGATCAAAAAAATCAGATGCCTCTTTGCGTCTCTGGGATTTATCAGGGTTGCAAGAGCCCATAAAAGGCTTAGCAGAAAGTTGAAATATCAAAAGAGTGGGTAGCAGAGGACCAAAGCAAATGCTTCTACCTTTGGAAGTTGAAAGGGTCTTTTGAGTCACTCCTGGCTTAGCTCGAAAGGGGTGAGTTTTTAACTCAATTTTTCTACAGCAAAGCACTTTATTGAGGGACTAGACCAGCTGGATCGACTATCAACCTGTTAGTAGTCTGCTTACTATTTTCATAAAACACTGAAAACTACTGGAGACTTCTCAAATACTGTATTTTTGTAGTGAAGAGTAGTTGAATATATTTTCCTAGAGATGTATGCATTTATTAGAAAATACAAAAAAAGCTGTTAATTACATTTTTATTACTGTAAACTGACTAACTACCAAAGTCTGGAGCTTTCCTGACAGAACTGTCCTTCATGGGAAGCCTTAAGCATTAAGTCTTCGAAGACTTCAGGTACTTTTTTTCTATTTTAGCAGATGTCTTCAGTGAAGGGGTTATTTCTTTCCTACTGTGCCCTCTTCTGTGAATGATGGGTCTGTAACGCTGGTCTTAGTGGCATCTTTAGCTCTTGCCTGGTGTTTTTAATTTTGAGTGGTACTGGTTGGCCTTACTGAAAACTGCTGCTGCTTCTCGTGCCTTGAAAGAGTGAGGAAGATGAAGGATTAATTTGTTTCCTCCTTGTGTTTTGGTGGATCTCTGGAAAAAAAAACATTTGCCTATACCTCACTAATGAACTTGTTTTCTAGACTTTATTCCACAGATTTCTGATGTTCTGGTTCAGAGAGTCAGAAAAACCAGTTGTGCCTTTGAATGGTGGCTTAACGGTTCAAAAAAAAATGATGGTGTTGGTGGTTATTACTGGATATGTGGGAAGCAAGACTGGACTCTTGCTTTTGCTCATTTTAAAACAATAGGGGTACTACTGGGTCGTTGGCTGCTGAAGGCACCGCGATGCTTTCGGAGTATGGATTTTCTGAAGTTTGGATAATGAGCGTTTCTGTTGGCTGGAACGGTACGTACACAGAGATGAAGGGGTGATATGTGCTCTTAGTGGTCTCCTTGGAGATGAAGCCTTAGAACTCGTAATATTCTGTCCTGGCAGCGTTTTTGCCAGCTGCAGCCGTGTTGGTTGAGGTGGACCCTGGGTCGTGTCTGCCCGTGGCCCCCGGGGTTGTTCTTTGGTGGTCGCGGTTCCCTGCTGCGAGGTCACGCTCCCGCACCAGCCACACTTCGACTTCCATGGCCGTGGAAGCATTGCATAGGCTGTGTTCCTCAGGCTTTTATTGGCAATATTAGTTTTAAAGGCTTTCTTTGGCATAAGGGGTCTGGCATTTTGTGTTCGTGCTTCACCTTGACTTTAAGGGCCTTAAGAATCAAATGTATTGTTTTATTATTGAAGGATCTGAATGTATTTTTCCCTGTTTATCCTGTCTGCTTTTAGCTTGGGTACCTATTTGTTTTTAAATGCCTTTTGGTTTCATGGAACACTAAAATAAAAATACCTTAAATCCAGTGTTCTGATCACTTTGTCTTTTTTCCTGAAAGACCAGTTTCAAAAGAGCCTCATCCCCTCCTCGTGACCGGGTCTGCTGCCCAGAACTCCTCATCCTCAAGGTATTGTTGGGCTGGTTCCATCCCTGGGAGCTCGTGGTGCAGGAAGTTCATGGTAAACACCTCCCAGGGTGGGGAAACCTGATGGACGAGCTCATCCACATCATGAGAATCGATCACGAGAATCCAGAGTTTCTGTGAAGCAAAAAAAAAAAAAAAAAAATGATGTGTAAAAGGTTCTTCCCCAGGAACCAGTTAAATTGCCTCCTCACAGCACCGGTCCCAGCCCTTAATTGTAATGGCCCTCACATTGTGGGCAGCGGGTGAAAAGAGAGAAAATCAGCCTCCTGCTGTCTTGGGGCCATTTAGCCTGAAACCTGTCTGCGCCGCAGGAGCCCTGAGTGCTCATCCTCATCCTCGGCTGGGGATGAAGGGCGGGGGGGGGGGGGGGGGCCACCCCGAGCCCCCCCCGTGCAGGGGCGCGGCTCGGGCCCTGACAGCTCTTTAACGAGGACGGGGACGATGAGTAGTGTCTGATGAGTCTCCCCAGGGGAAGGTTTTTATAATTAATTTCGCGGGTACCCGCGGACGGCGGAACTGTCGGCGGCCGGAACGCGGCGTGCGGGGGGGGCGGCGCGCGGGCCGGGCGGGAGGCGGGGCGGACCGCGGGGCGGCGCCGCCATTGGTGGAGGGCGGCGGGTGCGCCCGCCTCAGCGCTCCCCTGGCGGCTCGGCGGCGATGGCGGCGGCGGGGCCCGGCCGCTGCCCCGGGTGCGGCTCCGCCGCGCTGGTGGAGGACGCGCACTACGCGCAGCAGCAGCTGGTCTGCGCCGCCTGCGGCTGCGTCCTCGCCGAGGGGCTCCTCACCACCACCTACGCCGAGGAGGAGCACCTCCGAGGTGCGCCCGGGCCCGGCGGTGGGGTCTGCTGCCAAAAAAAAAAAAACAAAAACCAAAAAAAAAGGCTGGTTTTGAGCGCTCGGCAGTGGGGCCGAGCGGCGAAGCGCGCTCCCAGCCGCCCTTTGCACCGCCCGGCGGGACCGGCCGCTGTGGGGGCCGGCCCGCAGCCCTCCTGCGCCAGCCTTTGGGCTGGGAGCCGCTGCTGAGCTGCTCGCTGGCGTTTACATCCCTTTAAAGCGTGCTGGAGCAGCCCTGAGCCCCTCGGCGATGGCTTGAAGAGATCCGGCTCCTCGCTGTTCACTTAACCTGTGCTGCCAGCCCTAGTTTAGTGGGCCCTGTCAGTTCTGATAATGGGAACCCACTTCCACGGGCACCTGGCTGCCCCAGATCTCTCTGGCTCTGTCCCTCAGAGTCACTGCGAGACCGGGCTAACCCTCACTGTTTTTCAGAGGTGGCGTATTCCCAGAGCACCGGCCAGAAAGAGCAGCTGAGCCGCTGCCTGCAGCGAGGTAAGAGCCAGCCGTTCACTTTCCTCCCCACACCGGTTCTCTCTTGCTGCTGCTCTGGTTTGTCGGACACGTTTCTAACGCTCTCTAAAACGGGAAAAGCCTGCGGTGATGGTGGCAGTCGGTTCTGTGTCCTGCCTTCAGCAAGCTGCCTCATCCGCACAAAGGGGCTTGGGCGGCGCTTTCGCGTGGGCCGCAGGAGCTGGGCTGCGCTCGTGCCTCTGGGGCTGGGAGAATGCCGGCTGCGCTAAGAGCTGTGCGGCAGAAGCTGCTCGCTGAGGCCGGCGTCTTCTCGCAGGGATCAGGCGGGTCCAGGATCTCTGCAAAGTCCTCCAGCTCCCGACGGTGTTTGAGGAGACGGCGGTGTCGTACATGCAGAGAGCTCTGCGGCACCCCTCCTTCCACCTGGTCAGTCTGGAGAAGAAGGAGCTCCTGGGGGGCTGCTGCGTCTTCGTGACGTGTCGGCAGCACAACTGGCCCCTGACGATGGGGACGATCTGCTCCCTCCTTTACGCGAAGCAGGAGCTGTTTGCCAGCGTCTACCTGGGCCTTCAGAAGGAGCTCGGGCTCTCTGTGCCAGCCCTGAGCCTGGTGGATCTGGTGAAGACGCACCTGAGCAGGTAACGGGGCCCTTTTCAGCCGTTTCAGAGTTCTGTGTTTGACATCAGTGGGTAGAAAAGCTTCTGAACCACGGCTGTGGCCAGGGCAGAAATCCACACGCACAGACAGGGTGACCCCTGCTGCTACACGAGCCTTTTCTTGCCGAGTGCTCGAAGGCAAAACCAGATCATCTGGAAAAGTATCCCCTCAGACAGTTTGCAGCCCCGTGTGCTAAGGGGGGGCCACATCTACCTGCAGCCTGCTGGGCTGGGTGGCAGCGCTGGTGCAGCGGCATCTAAAATTTGTGATCTGGGAGTGCACTCTCTTGTCTCTTGAATGACAAACTTCATCGAGTTCTTGCTCCAACCAGCGACTGTGGTACAACAGTCACCCAGAGGCGGATGCCAGCAGGACTGGCGCTTGCTGGTGGGCTGAGGGGGATGGCCCACGTGTGTGCTGGGGTTTTTACAGGCTCTGGTGGCTTTTTTGCCTCCCTCAATCACAGTTTGGGCCGGGATCCTTCTCTTCCTGCCCCTTTCTCCTCTGGTTGGAGAGTGGGCGGTGCAGCACTTAGCTAGGTAACCCGTGGCAGGAGCGGGGTGGGTTTGTCCCAAAGGACCCTGCAGCAGCTCCCAGCTCGAGCTGGATTGCTGAGGCGCTGCCCCGTGAGGCTTCCCGGTGCCCTGGTGCTACCAACGGGCTCTTTGCTCTTCCAGCTTTCGGCTGTTCCAGCACGGGGCCGACGTCCCAGCTCCGTTCGTGGAGAACAAGGAGAAGATGGTCGCCCGGACGATGCAGCTCGTGGAGCTGGCCAGCGAGACGTGGCTGGTCACCGGCCGGCACCCGATTCCCATCGTGACGGCCGCGGCGTTCCTGTCGTGGCAGTCGCTGCAGCCCGCCGCCCGCCTCGGCTGCACGTTCGCCCGGTTCTGCACGCTGGCGGGAGTCGACCTGCCGCCGCCGGCGCACCTGAGGCTGAAGGAGCTTCTCGAGATCCTCCTGAGAATGGCCTCCCAGCTCGCCTGGCTGCGGGTGTTCAACGTGGACAAGAAAACTGTGGTCAAACACGTCGGGGACCTGCTGCAACACCGAATTTTCCTGCTGAAAAACGCCTTCTGCATGGAGGGTGAGGAGGAGCAGCGTGCCGCAGCCCCGGGTGGGGGGTCCCCCGGCTCTCTGCCCGCAGCAGGAGGGGCAGCCGGGGAGGAGGGCTGTCCCTCGGGAGGGAAACGCCAGCGTGAGGGCAGCCCGAGGCCCTTGCTGCCGCCCTGCCTTATCAATCCAAGGAAGCGGCTGCGGACGGCAGCCCCCAGCGCTTCCGACTCTGCCATCACCGGCAACGAGCCCATCTCCGACCGCGAAATCGAGCAGTACCTGCGGGGCCCAGAGGAGATCCGGGCCCTCAGGAAGGCCAAGGCCTGGCTGTGAAGACGGTCGTTTCCATTGCGGTCCCGTGGCAGCGGGGACTGTGGGACCAAAAGCGTGAAACCCGGCGGTGACAGAGCCATCGCGCACCACAGGGACAGTCCCCCGAGGGAGGGGGGTTGTGGGGAGGGGGCGGGCTGTGACTTCTTTCATGTTCTGGGCCACAATGGGGCTTTTTATGGAGTGACTGCTTTGGGCTGTCACGTTTCTGTTAGAAATAAATAGAAGCGCAGGTGCCAGGACTGGTTTCTGGATTCTCCCTCACTGCAGCCTCTGGTAAAAGGTGTCTTGGTGTGTCCCAGCTCTGCGGGGCGGCGTCACGAGCGTGGCTCGTGGGTCTGTGGCGGGGTGATGCCCAGGGGAAGGTCTCCAGCACCTTCACTGGCGCCGGTTTTCCGTGGCGCTGCTCTGGCTTTTCCAGGTCTCACCTTGTGCTTCACCTCCTTTGGCAAAATGGGTCTGTGAGGGTTGAGGAGACGCCTTGAGTTGCTGAGACAAAACTACCCCATATCTGGTTAAATAGGGGATGGGAAGCTGCTGGGAAGCTGCGGCTGTGGCGCAGCTTTGCTCCGTGTGTGCGGCGCTGCCGTGCTGCTCGCTCGGTAAAACAGTGCCCGCTCCGTGCCTGGTAACCCGCTGTATTGGAATTCAAAGTCCGCGAGAAATAACAGTAGATCTTGGCAGGTTGGCAAATCTTTAATATATTAAACGAAACATATCTGCTAGAAACATTCTATTTATATAAAAATGCAAAAAGACCCCTTTAAAGACATTTCTTTGGCATACTTTCCCCTCCCTCCCCCTTGTATATTGCAAGAAGCTCTCTGTTGATATGTCATTTGCTTGTAATGTAAACAGACAAAAAAAAAAAAAAAGTGTAGTTAATAATACAAAGCTTTTGATATAATACTGTCACAGTGCAGCAAGCATATATAACAACTCAGCATCAGCAAGACCGTGGAGGCTGCGGCATCGACAGTAAGGATTGAAATTGCATTAAATACCAGGCACAGCGAAACGTGGCTTGAGCCGCTGGTCGGGCAGAGCAGGCGCGGGGCCTCACTACGCCCAGGGGTGCCCCAGCCCTGCGGGGTGAGGGGTCCCCCAGGCTTTCTGAAGGTGAGATCGATCCACCACGAAGTGCTTTTTCCTCCACTGCCTGGTGGCTCCCCGTCCCCGCCAGCCCCTGCCTGGTCCTCGCAACCCCTCGGGAGGTAGCTGATTAATGAAACTCATTTGCACGCGGGAGGAAAGGCAGGTGGGGGGAGGCTGGAAAGGCTCCAGGCTCCCATCCCGCCTCCTCTGCATCACTCTCGCGGCTGGGGCCGGGCTCACGGCTGGACGGGGGGTGAAATGCAGCCGCGGGCCAGCGTGGGGAGAGCTGAACTGTCCCAGCGTAGGGCTGGGGTGCTCCTCGCCCAGCTGCGGGGTCACCAACCGCCTCTTGGGCTCGGAAACCTTCCAGGCCTGGCAGCGGCCGGCCCCTGGAGCCTGCTGCTGCCGCCTGCAGCGTGGCTCTGTTCATGCTAGAAAAAAAAGGGGACACACACACACACTTGTTTTTTACATGGGGGAAAAATAAGTGCTTATCCAAGGTCCAGCCCTTTGAATGCATGACATGAGCTGTCCAAGGAAGGGCCCTAATTGTTTGGCATCATTCTGCCCCTGCGCCCCGGCACTTCCCTCTCGTCTTACCCGAGGGTGAGGCCAGTAGCCGGGGCCGGGGCGGGGGGGGGGGGCGGTTCTCTGCCTTCCTAAGAGCAAACCCAAGTATTTTTGGAGCTTGGAGCCCTGGGCTGGAGACAAGGACCTGCTCTGGGGCTCTGCCCACAGCTTGGCTCTTTGGTGCTTTGGTGGAGAGGGTCAGTCTCAGCTCCGGCAGCGGCACGGCTCTGCCAGCCCACCCCATTGCATAGCTTATACCTCCGAGGGCTCGGGAGCCTTTTCTGGGTGTGATTTTAGTGTCTGGCATTAAGATAGTGCAGACAATCGCCTCGCCTTCGAGCTGAGGCTCCTCTTACCTTGTGCTTGCTTTGCAATATGGCTTTTACGTTGGCAGCCGTGTAACCCACAGGGCTAACCACTGGCGTCTAACACACGCGGATAAAAACTTTTGCATGTAAGAACATTTCAGACGGAGAAGCTGTTCCCTGGCTCGCTCGGCAGCAGCTTGCTCAGGCTGGGGATCGCACAGGCGCTGGCGTGACGGTGCCTGTACGTAAAGGGCACTTGGTGTGGTCCCCACAGCGGGACTATTGCAGTCGCGGCACGAGCGGGCTATTGCCCCAGCGCCCGGGGGGAGAACACTGGTCGGTAACGAGGCACTCGCATCACTTACTGATCTGTCTATACATATTTACATTCAATAATATAGCTTTGAAAAATAGACATTTGTTTCCTCTGTAAATTATAAAATAGCATTTAGGATCAGTCTGAAGTGACATGCAGGAGTGATTAAAGTATGGTTGCAATTCAGGCTGCTGAATAGCAAGGATTGCCTTTCACCTCGCGACCCCGGCGCCGCCGCGGGAAGCGTTCAGCCTCCTCGGGGGGACGGGTGGGTCCGGCATCGCCCCCCGCCCAGGGTGAGCCGGATCCCCCCCCCGGCCGTGCCGCCCATCCCCACTAGTGCACGTGGCCGTTCCCGCAGCGTCGCCTCCCCGAGCGGCTCCCGGAGGGAAAACGCTGCGGCCGTCCGGTCCTTCCCCACCTTTTAGACGGTGGTTTCGCTCTTCCAGAGGCCGGTCTTCATCCCGGCCACGCTGTCGGCGCTGGCCAGGTTGATGTCGTACTTGCTGCCCTTGAGGCCGCCGTTGTGGCTGGCCACGTTGAGCGGGTAGGACCGGCGCTTCGCCTCCTTCTCGGCGGCGCCGGCTTGCCGCAGGTTGTCCCTGCTGGCGCTCCTCCGGCGAGCCTCCCCAAAATCGGGCACCCGCCGGCCGCCGTCGCTGCCTTCCGAGTGGCTGGGGGCCGTCTCCCCGTCCTGGGGGGCCCGCGGCCCCGCGCGGCCGCCGCTGCCGGGGCTGTTCCTGCCGCTGTGGTAGCTCTCGGAATGGCTGTTGTGGAGGCTCCCGCTCTCGCTGGAGGGGTGCTCCGAGGAGGGGCCCCGCAGCATTTTCAAGCGGTGGTGCTTCCCGTCCCGGCACTGCTTAGTTCTGCCGCGGTGGTTCCTGCGGCCGTGGAGGTTGCTGGTGTGTCTGCTGGCACTGCCGGTCTTGCCGTCGGTGGGCTCCGGCTCCGGGCGAGCGTCCGCCTGGCTCTGGGCTACCTGCAGGTTGGTGAGCTTGCAGCGGCCCCCGGCCGAGCCGGCGCTGCTGGGCGAGGAGGAGGAGGAGGCGGCGGAGTGAGCCGCCTCCGGGTCGCAGCCGATGAAGACCTGCGAGCCGTCCTCCGGCACCAGCCCGGGGTGGACGTACGCCTGCATGGGCAGCGCGTTCCTGTAGGAAGGGCAGCAGGAGAACCAGGAGTTGAGGACATCCCGGCGCCGGACGCAGTGGTGGATGAAGATGAAGAGGCCCAGCACCACGGCGGTGACGCCGTAGAGGCAGCTGAAGACGACGTTCAGGTACCAGCGCTGGGACACGGCCATGGCGCCGAAGGTCCACAGGGCAACGTACAAGGCGTGGGTGGTCACCAGCGCCCAGAACTGCGCCTGCAGGGAGTGGACACCGTCCGCCTCGGGGCAGGGGGGCCCCGAGTTCAGCGTCACCGAGATGGACCCCGAGTCCGTCAGCAGGTCCCCGGCACCCCCCAGCCGCGGCGGCGGCTCCAGAGGCTCGGGGACATCTTTCTGGTGCGACGGCCGGCACTGGAGGCTGAGCCCGGCGCAGAGGAAGTAAATCCAGGTGACGAGCAAGATGAAAGCCACGGGGACGTAAAAAGCCCCCAGGCTGGGCCGCCACACCAGCCAGCAGCTGTACGGGAGGAAAGGGGCTTCCATGAGCAACCCGGGTGCCAGCACAGCCGGAGCCACGTGTGCTGTGCTGCTCAGCCCCCCTGTCCCCGTGGCACGGGCTCTGCGGAGGCGTGCTGGCTGCCCAGCTGCTGTTTTCCCAATAGATGGGTAGTTCTTGGGGGAAAAAAAAAAAAAACAAAACCTCGCCGGCCTTTCCCAAGCTTGCCTGGATTCCCAGTGCTGCCAGTTCCCCTGCCCCAGCGGTGAGATGCCGCTTGTTTGGGGAGGAAATCACGGATGGACACTTACTAGGGGTTGTTGTCGTGGTAGTTGTGGATGTTGACGGCTGCCGTGATCCCGCAGATGATGAGGGGGATCCCGCCGGCGATCAGGTAGAACCTGCACGGGGTTGGGGACGGTGTCACCGCACGCCTGGAGCGAGCCCTGGGGAGAGCTCGGCGCGGCTTGTAGGGCAGAGCGAGCCCTGCCCCGGCCTCCACGTGGGGTGGGGGGAGCTCCCGCGGGGCCGGGGCGAGGGGAAGGGCTGTTCCTACCGGAGCATGGGGCTGGGGGCCGGCTGGGACGCGTCCCCCTCCGGCTGCCGCGGCGCTTTCCAGGTCACCTCCTTGTAGAGCACTCTGGCTTTCACCGCCATCCACAGCAGGGTGGAGAGGGAGGAGTAGTGCAAGATGATGCCGACCTGCGGGAGCGAGGCGATGGTTGGGAAGGGGGGGGGGTGCTGCAGACACGGCTCCATCCCCGCCGGTTGCCGTCCCGCCGGGGGAACCCTCGCCGTGCCGGGCCCTGAAAATCACAGGCAGCCCCTCGCCCCCCCATACCCACCGCTTGGCAGACGATCAGGTAGCCGGTGAGGGTGATGCCTCCCGCGAAGACGGCGGCCGTCATGGCGATGTGGAAGCAGAGGTTAAGCAGCATGTGCCAGCCCTTCCGCGGGATGAGGATGGTGCTGGAAGAGGCACAACGGGCGCCCGTCAGCCCCTGCCCGGCACAAACCCTGCGAGGCGGAGCAGGAGCTGGGCTGGAGGTGGGGGGTGCCCTCCCCGTGCCCCCAGCACTGGGCTGTTCTGGCTTTGGCTGGGCAGCGCCCCGTTTCATCGCCCGAGGTGGGCTGGTGGCGCTGCCCGGCGTTGCTGTTTGGGTCCCTTAGAGCAACAGGCCTGGCCTCCCATTTATCTAAATAATGACTCGTTCAGTGTTAGATAAAATAATTAGTACCGGGTTCTTCCAAGAGGGTGGTAGTTAGATGTGGGCTGACAGTGTTGCTTGGCTTTAACTGGTTTCATTTATCACAAAATGAACGGCTTGGCCTTATACGTATCTCATTAAGTACTGGTAAGCATGTGATGTCATAATTATTGCTGGGTTC